ACATTTCAGCGGCAGCAGAGCAGGAAGTAGGAGATGCTGCTCGGATGCTGCTCTATCTGTTTGATGGGCACCCACCAATTCGGAAATGAGATGTTTGGCTGACAGGATATGATGTAGAAGAATAATGCATGACAGGCAGATTTATGTGTGTGAGTATGTCTGTGTGTATGTGTGTATGTGTGTGTGTGTGTGTCTCTGTCTTTGTGTGTATGTGTGTGTGTCTCTGTACTAGTGTGTGTTTGACTGTGTGTGTCTGTCTTTGTGTGCGTTTGACTGTGTGTGTCTCTGTTTATGTATGTGTGTCTCTGTGCCTCTGTGTGTGACTGTGTGTGACTCTGTGTGACTCTGTGTGACTCTGTGTGTGTGAGTGTGTGTCTCTCTGTCTCTGTCTGTCTGTGTGTCTCTGTGTCTTATGTTACCCCAACACCAACATGTGCCCCATCAGGACTGTGATTAATATTGCGTGTGTTTCATGTTACCCCAACACTACCATGTGCCCCAACAGTCCTGTGTGTGTGAGCGTGTGAGGTTGTGTGTGGGTGGTTGTGTGTTTTATTGTTACCCCAACATCGCCTGCTTGTGTGTACATGGGGGGCGTGTGTGTGTACCACATGAGTGTTTACACACACAGACACACACAGACAGAAAGAGAGAAGAGAGAGAAGAGACAGAGAGGGAAGAAATCGAGCTGGTGCCACAAGCGTTGATGTAGCCTGAGGAGTACTCCACCATGGGACTCCACCAAGGACGTCTGTCTGTCTGTCTGTCTGTCTGTCTCTGTCTGTCTGTCTGTCTGTCTCTGTCTGTCTGTCTCTGTCTGTCTTTTTCTTTCTTCCTTTATTTCTTTCTTTCTTCCTTTATTTCTTTCTTTCTTCCTTTATTTATTTATTTATTTCTGTCTGTCCGTCTGTCTGTCTGTATGTCTTTTTCTTTCTTCTTTTCTTTCTTCCTTTCTTTCTTTATCTCTGTCTGTCTGTCTGTCTGTCTGTCTGTCTGTGTCTGTCTCTGTGTCTGTCTGTCCGTGTCTGTCTGTCTGTGTGTCTGCCTCTGTGTCTGTCTGTCTGTGTCTGCCTCTGTGTCTGTCTCTGTCTGTCTGTGTGTCTGTCTCTGTGTCTCTCCTTTTGTCTGTCTCTGTTTGTCTGTCCGTGTGTCTGTCTGTCTGTGTGTGTGTGTGTGTGACTGAAATGGGTGGGTGGGTGTGTCTGTGTGTCTGTCTTTGTATGTGTTTGAGTGTGTTACAAGTTCCATACAAGTGCGGGGTTGTCCATAAAAGCTGGCGTGCCCATGGACGGTAAATCGTTTGAAGTGCAGTTACATGGTGGACCATCATTGTCCTCCCTCGTCCACTTGAGCATATGAAGCGCCATAGAGCAACGTGCCGGGTCTCCCAGACTTCCGAGGGGAACCTGGCTAGTGCCAGGGGTGGGGCCTCAGTCAAATCGTGTGCACGTTGAACCCTTGAAACGCGAGGTCATGTTCGTACTTAGCCCGTGTACTAGTGTACACCGGGCATTTCACAAAAGGCATGCATTTTGCCTTGAACCGCCCTGCAGTCACAAAGCCTGCAGGTGCGTGCTGTGTGCTCACAGCTGTTAGGTTGGTCATGACGTTGATCAATCTCTAACTCCCAACAGCCTGTTACCCGGAAGCGTTGAGTTGACAGTCCTCGCCGAGGCAAGCACTAGTCTGCATAGACGCGTATACAAAAACAATCTATATGGCGGCAGCGGAGACTTGAACTCCGAACACCTAGTATTCGTGATACTTCAGTGTCTGGCCAGTGCACCCCGCCCGGGTAGCTTATATCTCGGCCTACCTGCCGGACATTACCTACCATGGTCCTGCCGTACTAGGATAATGTCGGTGGGGCCCCGGGGCCCCAGCCCATTAGGTTTGCTACGAACAACCGCCATGTTCGAGACATGTGACGAAACTCGTAACATGTACGAAACTCGGGTCGAATCATTAACGAAATAACAGTTATTGTCAAGAGTAATCGTTGAAGTATTCTAAGGGTTTGCTGCGAACAACCGCCATGTTCGAGACATGTGACGAAACTCATAACATGTACAAAACTCGAGTCGAATCGTTAACGAATTAACAGTTATTGTCAAGAGTAATCGTTGAAATATTCTAAGGGTTTGCTGCAAACAACCGCCATGTTCGAGACATGTGACGAAACTCATAACATGTACAAAACTCGAGTCGAATCATTAACGAATTAACAGTTATTGTCAAGAGTAATCGTTGAAATATTCTATGGGAAATGTAGCTTGCTACAATGTGTGTGTGTACATGTATGTGTGAGACTGTGTGTGTGTGACTGTGTGCGTGTATGTGTGTGAGACTGTGTGTGTGTGAGACTGTGTGTGTGTGAGACTGTGTGTGTGTATGTGTGTGAGACTCTGTGTGTGTGTATGTATGTGTGTGTGTGTCTCTCTCTCTGTGTGCTTGTGTGCGTGTATGTGTGTGTCTCTGTGTGTATGTGTGTGTGTCTCTCTCTCTGTGTGTGTGTGTGTGTCTATGTGTGTGTGTGTCTCTCTCTGTGTGTGTGTGTGTGTGTGTGTCTCTCTCTCTCTGTCTGTGTGTGTGCATGTTTTCATGT